GAATAACTTTTTAAAAATCTCTCATCTTGGTTTCCTTTTTTTTTCTTTTCCAAATTCTCGTTTCCACATGTCGTTGGTCTTTCACTACAAGCCACGACCGTAGAATCTTCTTTGTCTGAAAAAACAAAAGAACTCCAATTTACGTTTCTCTTAAGAAACGACGGACTTTCCGAAGAAAATAAAATATTTAGAGAAGTAAAGAAGAAGCAGAGAAGTTTGAGACTTTGGAGGTTTGTGAGTCTGAGAAGGAAAAAAGAAATGGAGATGGCGGTGGCTAATCACCGAGAGAGAAGCAGTGACAGCATGAATAGACATTTAGACAGTAGCGGCAAGTACGTCAGGTACACGGCGGAGCAAGTGGAAGCTCTCGAGCGTGTCTACGCCGAGTGTCCTAAGCCAAGCTCTCTCCGGCGACAACAATTGATCCGTGAATGTTCCATTTTGGCCAATATCGAGCCTAAGCAGATCAAAGTCTGGTTTCAGAACCGGAGGTAACTGATTCATCTCACTCTCTCTAAGAAGAAGCAAAAAGAAATCTCTACTTTAGAATTAGGGATTTGGAATTGATTATTGGAAGGACCACAGACACTTGTGGAGTATTCTTTTGTCTAGTAGTTTAGTTGCTCTTAGATGAATTTGGTCCGTGATTCGATTCTCCGACACAATTTCCTGTTTTGTCATAAGGGTTTCTCAGAATCTGTCTAGTAGTTTTGATTTGGACTTTCCTGTGTATCTATATTTTATCCAAATTAGCTCTTTAAACTATTCTTGTGAACTATGTTTATTGTTTGATGTCTAATTCTTAGGCAGTTTTGGTTATCTGTTATTGTGTGTGTGGTTTAGGTGTCGAGATAAGCAGAGGAAAGAGGCGTCGAGGCTACAAAGCGTAAACCGGAAGCTTTCGGCTATGAATAAACTTCTGATGGAGGAGAATGATAGATTGCAGAAGCAAGTCTCTCAGCTTGTCTGTGAGAATGGATATATGAAGCAGCAGCTTACCACTGTTGTATGTAACTTCAAACATAAACATTCTTCTTTGAAATGTGTTCTTAAAGAACAATCATGTAAACTTATTGTGTTGTTGTTTATTTTATTTTCAGGTGACTGATGCAAGCTGTGACTCAGCGGTCACAACTCCTCAGCATTCGCTTAGAGATGCGAATAGTCCTGCTGGGTAAAGTTTCTTGCCTTTTTTGGTTTTGTAGTGACTTTTCTTGCCTTTTCCTCAAGGACTCATATCAGTTGGTTATGTTGTTAGATTGCTAGCGATCGCAGAGGAGACCTTGGCAGAGTTCCTATCAAAGGCTACAGGAACTGCTGTTGATTGGGTTCAGATGCCTGGGATGAAGGTTTTTATACGCTTCTACTAGATATATTGATATATTTATGTGTAATATTGAAATGTGAAATCTGATGTTAAGTACTTAATGTGTTTTAGCCTGGTCCGGATTCGGTTGGCATATTTGCTATATCGCAAAGATGCAGTGGAGTGGCAGCTCGAGCCTGTGGTCTTGTTAGTTTAGAACCTATGAAGGTATAAGAAAGTGCCACCTCCTTTCAATGCTTAAGACTCAAGACTCAAAATGTTTCATTTTCAACCGGATTCTGTTTTCTTGCAGATTGCAGAGATACTCAAAGATCGACCATCTTGGTTCCGTGACTGTAGGAGCCTTGAAGTTTACACTATGTTCCCTGCCGGTAATGGCGGCACAATTGAGCTCGTGTATATGCAGGTGAAATCTTCTTTTCTCTTTTGGTTTAGTGTACTATCTCTAACAATGGAAGGTGAATAAAGAAAGTTGATTAAACTTTTGGTGATCAGACATATGCACCAACGACTCTGGCTCCTGCCCGCGACTTCTGGACTCTGAGGTACACAACGAGCCTCGACAACGGCAGTTTTGTGGTATGCAACTCTCAATCTCTCATGATGTCTGTCTAGTACCGTTTTACATAGAAAGTGTTAGAATCGGCATATTGATGTTCTGTAATCTATGTGTCTTGTAAAGGTTTGTGAGAGGTCACTATCTGGATCAGGAGCTGGTCCTAATGCTGCTTCAGCTTCTCAGTTTGTGAGAGCAGAGATGCTCTCTAGTGGATATCTAATAAGACCTTGTGATGGTGGCGGTTCAATTATTCACATTGTCGATCACCTTAATCTTGAGGTAATTAGAACATTTTGTGTTTGCTTCCTCAAATTTCAAAAAAGAATTGCTTCTAACTAAATCTACTTTCTTGCATTTCTAGGCTTGGAGTGTTCCGGATGTGCTTAGACCTCTCTATGAGTCATCCAAAGTCGTCGCACAAAAAATGACCATCTCCGTGAGTGTATATACAATAAATTAATAAACCATGATGAGATGTGATTGATTCAATTTTCATATCTAACGGTTTCTTGTTTTAGGCGTTGAGGTATATCAGGCAATTAGCGCAGGAGTCTAATGGTGAATTAGTGTATGGATTAGGAAGGCAGCCTGCAGTTCTAAGAACATTTAGCCAAAGATTAAGCAGGTATATATACAACCATGAGCTAAAAATCTAATTGTTTCTTTGCTCTTTGTTTGACTGTTTTGATTTTATAATTTTTTGTCTTGCAGAGGTTTTAATGATGCGGTGAATGGGTTTGGTGACGACGGTTGGTCTACGATGCACTGTGATGGCGCAGAAGACATTATCGTTGCTATCAACTCTACAAAGCATTTGAATAACATCTCCAACTCTCTCTCCTTCCTTGGAGGTGTGCTTTGTGCTAAAGCTTCAATGCTTCTCCAAGTAAGTTATCATTGTGCTCTGTTTTGGTACTCTGTTTCCTTTTCAAGGGCTGAAGATTTGTGTTCTTTATCGTAGAATGTTCCTCCTGCGGTTTTGATCCGGTTTCTTAGAGAGCATCGATCCGAGTGGGCTGATTTCAACGTTGATGCGTACTCTGCTGCGACGCTTAAAGCCGGTACCTTTGCTTATCCTGGGATGAGGCCTACAAGGTTCACCGGGAGCCAGATCATAATGCCGCTTGGTCATACTATCGAACACGAAGAAGTAAGACACTTTCTAGTCTTGTCCAGTGAAAAATTAAGACATTTTATTTTGTGTTCTTTCTTTAATGTGTTTGGTGTTGTTATGCTTCAGATGCTTGAAGTTGTTAGACTAGAAGGACATTCTCTTGCACAAGAAGATGCATTTATGTCCCGAGACGTCCATCTTCTTCAGGTATATATATATATATATATCATTTCTAAGAGATCTTGAGATTTTCTTCCATTTCATAGTTGAATTGAGCTTAATGATGTATGGCAGATTTGTACCGGGATTGACGAGAATGCTGTTGGAGCTTGTTCCGAGCTTATATTTGCTCCGATTAACGAGATGTTCCCTGATGATGCTCCACTTGTTCCTTCTGGATTCCGAGTCATACCCGTTGATGCTAAAACGGTACTACTTAACTTGTCTTTGCTTCATCTCTTATACATTGTTAATTAGTCTCAGATGCTCACATTGGTTTACTCATATAGGGAGATTCACAGGACATGTTGACAGCTAACCACCGCACATTAGACTTAACATCAAGCCTGGAAGTCGGTCCATCACCAGAGAATGCTTCTGGAAACTCTTCTTCAAGCACAAGCTCGAGATGTATCCTCACTATCGCGTTTCAGTTCCCCTTTGAGAACAACTTGCAAGATAATGTAGCTGGTATGGCTTGTCAGTACGTGCGGAGTGTGATTTCATCGGTTCAACGTGTTGCAATGGCGATCTCACCGTCCGGGATAAGCCCGAGTTTGGGATCCAAACTGTCTCCTGGATCTCCTGAAGCTGTTACTCTTGCTCAGTGGATCTCCCAAAGTTACACGTAGGTTTCTTAATGTTTTTACTTGAGACTCTCTCTTATTAGCTTATATCGATAATGTCTTACGTCTATATGTTTTGCTTTGCCAGTCATCACTTAGGCTCGGAGTTGCTGTCGATTGACTCGCTTGGAAGCAACGACTCTGTGTTGAAACTTCTTTGGGATCACCAAGATGCCATCTTGTGTTGCACTTTAAAGGTGTGTGTCCTAAACCAAACACTCTTGCATTTAAACACTTTTAGACACATAACTGTACTCGGTTTAATGTGGTCTGGTTATGTACTTGCAGCCGCAACCAGTGTTTATGTTTGCGAACCAAGCTGGTCTAGACATGCTAGAGACAACACTTGTAGCTTTACAAGACATCACACTCGAAAAGATCTTTGATGAATCCGGAAGAAAGGCTCTCTGCTCTGACTTTGCCAAGCTAATGCAACAGGTATTAAGAAACAAAAAGGCATAAATGTTTGTTGGAATCATTGTCTGAGAAATGTCTTTGTCTGTACAGGGATTTGCGTGTTTGCCTTCAGGAATCTGTTTGTCGACGATGGGAAGACACGTGACTTATGAACAAGCTGTTGCTTGGAAAGTGTTTGCTGCATCTGAAGACAACACCGACAACAACAATTTGCATTGTCTTGCATTCTCCTTCGTAAACTGGTCGTTTGTGTAATTTAATCTTTTGTGAGGGTAAAATTAGGAAGACTAATCAAATTTACATTTAGACGAGAACAAACTCATCTTTTTGGTTGTGTAGGTGTCTCTCTCTCTTTCTCTGTTTTTTTGTCAAATTTTCCTCGCTTTTTCTTTGTGTTTTTTATTTTAGTGATTGAACAAAAAAGAGACCTGATAAATCTATATTACAAAGAGGATGATGTTTCCATCTTTTATTATATTTCTTCACTATAATCATATCATGGAAAGAAGAACACCATTCATGTTTCTTGTGACGGCTTCAAGTTCAAAGTTACAGTGGGAAAATGGAGTCTCACAACCCTTTTTATGTATATAATAATTACGTTTACAATGTAGTAGTATAACTATTTCAAAAATAAGAAAAAGAAACAAAGAATTAACAGCAAACTACAGATGTAAGAAAGAAAAAATCTACAGCCGAATACAATCTTTTGACCGGCCGTTAAAATGGAAAGGATCTTCAGAATCTCATGCATCTAGCAGGTAAACCGGTCTGGTGATCGACGGCGACAATCTCAGAGACATTGTTGCAACGAAGAACATCTTGACCAAGCTTAGCTCCTGCAGCTTTAAGACCTTTCAGAGAAACCGGAATGTTAAAGAGGTTAAGCGACGGAAGCTTTGAAGCCGGAGGGAGTTTCTGACTCGGCAAGAAGTTTCTGAAATCATCCTTCAGCAAAGGAACTTCGAAATCAGTTTTATCGTGTTTCACCACATTGTCTTTGGCTGCAATGTGAGCTCCTGGCTCCATGTGGTTGGTTGAGAAGCTTTGCTGGTTAGGGAAGTTAGGGTAGAGAGTAACGTATCCTCTAAGGTACATCATATCAATCAAGAACTTCTTCCAAGAAGCTTGCCAACCGTTGGTTCTTGATTTCGGAATCTGAACCGGGTTAGCTTTCGCGTTCTCCGTGAATCTCATGTTCATGTAGACATAGAACTCTCTCCATTGCTTTGGGAAGAAAACAGCTCCCCAGCTACAAGGTAACTGGTGAAGGTAAGGTGTGTGTGGATGGATTTGTTTGAAGAACACTGTTGGATTCCATTTAGGTCTCTCTTTAACGACTTCGACGATTTTGGGAGTGTAGAGAGAGATGGAGGAGAGCTCAGGGAAAGAGATTTGAGGGTCGTAGTGGTAAGCGAGTAGAGCGTATTTGATCCAGAGGTAGTAGTAAGGAGAGACTTCAATGTCGTCTTCAAGCAGGAGACCGAAGTCATCATCAGAAGCTGGATACCAACTCTCACTCACAGCTCGGATTAGTCCTCCTTGGATGATTCTTCTTCTCAAGGTCTTTGGTCCGTGAGGCCAATCGAATGTGGTAACAACTCTTATCGTCTCTTCATCCACTTTGCTATCCATGTTGAAGCTGATAGGTATCTCGTCGCCGAGGTAGTACGCATTGCTCAAAGACTTGAGCAGTCTTAGTAAAGATTGAGCTCTGTTTTGCGTGATGATGTTCACTGAGACTCTCATCTTGTTCCAATCTGCAATCATGTCAATTCCGGGTAAGCAAAACTGTGCAAATGCAAAAGCAAACCAAAGGAACAAAAAGGTAAAGGATTCTTACTTGGCAATGCTGTTGATCTTAGATCAGCCATCCATAGAACCTTGGAGATAGAAGCTCTCGGAAGAAGAACAAGTGTGCCATTAGGGTTTGTCTCAGTAGCCATTTTCAAAGCTTTCTTGACATTAGGATCAGCATCAGCTACCGTAATCACCACGCTAGGGTTATGGATCTTGATAAGCCCTTTCATGCTCGAATACACAGCTTGGAACACAGGCACCTCTGAGTTCGAGACCCCCAAGATAGCTCCAACTTCCAAATCAAAGATCTTGAACCTCCTCTCTTTACAAACAACCTTAGGCCAATTCATAGCCGAAGCAGCATCCTCGCAGGGACAGAATTTCCCTCCCGAGACAGCGATGTAAGCCTTTTTACCGGCAGTGGTTCTGAATTTTTCAAGCAAAGGACCTAACGCTTTCACTTCATCGATCGAATGCGCGTAGAACAGAGCGTCGATCTTCTGAGGATACATCGCAGCCCATTGAGTTATGTAACCTGTAGACAGAGCTTTCCACCATTGATTGTCTCTCACTTCCACAATGTTTTTGAAGATCACTGTGGTTTCGGAGACGTAAGCGAGCCTGTGTTCACTATCTCCCCATGTCTCCTTGTCATTTGGATCCACAGGAAGAACAAACGAACCTGCGTTTCTGTACTTCTGAAGCTGATAGCTGCCAAAAACGCAATGAACAAAATCAAAATCCAATTTTTATTACTACTTCACAACAAAAAAAGTTTCCTTTTTTCTTACTTTCATCAGAGAATTGAGTCTAATTGTTTTTCCATCATGAAACAGAACATTGTCTACAAAACGTGATTCTATCACTCTCACGAAGATCATCATCCTACGGGACGTTACTAAAATAATTATATACCAATGCGACATCTTTTAGAATACTATAATATATATATTCATTTCAACATAATTTATAACAAAAAGGTCAATTTTTGAGTGATTAAGAAATGATAAAAGGTACAAATTAAGCAAAATCGGTGCGACATTGTGATTGGAGAAACTAACCTCAGGTGAAGATCTTCGCCGGTGGCAAATGTGAATGGTTTCTCGATGAACAACGCTTTCACGAGCTCCGCCGATAAGAACCACGAGCTGGATAAGAAATCAACCTGGAGGATTCGATCCAAAGTGATGTCATAAGCTGGATCAGGCAAGTAAAGCCCCGCTTCTTTCGATCGAAACTTCCTATAGCTCGGAAACGTGAAATCCTTCTGCCGGAAAGGTAGAATCCGTCCGATGCTTCCCAAAACGGAGTTCTCGTACTTTCCCGTTCCGGCGACGTGTGAGAGCATTTGAAGCATCTTCTTCCCAGGGATCATATCGTCGTCGATAACGTAAACCAGATCCGCTTCCGTCTGAAGCGCGATCTGGAATCTTCCATAGTACTTGAAGTCGTAGTTCGAGCTGATGAAGCTGATCCGAGAATCGTTGTAGCTTCCGGCGATTCGCCGGAGAGAAGCTTCATTTGGGCTCCCGAAGGCCAAAACCCAGACATGGTGAAACGGCAGCGTTTGGTGGAGGAGGGAATCGAGCTGCGCGCAAAGCGTTTTCCTCTTGAAATGGTTTAGTATCACTGTCACTTTGGGTTTTGTCGGCCCGTTTAAGGCCCATTTAGACTTCATCTTCATCAACTCCTCTAAACTCTCTGACCCGAGATTCTTCCTCTGGAAACCCACAACGTCGTCGTATAGCTCTCTCTTCATCTTGATCATTTGCTGGTCGTTGGATTTCTTCTGCGAGAAATCGATTTTTTCGTACTCGCAGACCTCCGTCGGAGAAACCACCGCCGGGAAGTTTTCCTCCGACGATTTCAGGAAGGAAGCAGAGTCTTGGAAATGGTTGACGACGTGAGGGGTAACAATGTAATTACGCATGTTATGGGCCCATTTGGTGGCCCAAGTGAAGTCTGGCTTGGCCCGCAAGTCTATGGAAGGACTCATGTAGTAGAGAAGTCCGGTGGCGTAGACGGCAAATGCAAACTGAAGAAACGTCAGCGCCGTCACGAACTTGGCGGAGTTGAGTTTCCGGCTTGGTTTTGATTTTCCGGCGGAGTATTCTCCGAAAATGCTCTCTATATAATCTCCGCCGCTTCTCACCACCGGTGGCCGTATAAAGCCCATTTTCTCAGAATCCAAGACCTTTATTGATTTGAACAAAACAAAAAAGAGAATAAGAATGTGGAGGTTGGCGTCTCTTTTCTTTCTGTTTCTATGTTAACTGTTAATAGAAATGTATATATATAGATGAACAAGACATAAACATGCACACATATATATATAAAGTGAGATTTGTGGGTGAAGAAGCATTACATAAGGAGGATATCACATGGGGTAAACGTTCATTACTTATAAAGTAAAGCGTTAGTTTAAATAATAAGGTTTTATAATTTATTAGTTGAAATGTTTTGAAAAGGGTTACGCGATACCGTTTATATTTTGTAACTTATTAAATTGCTTTGTTATTCAGAGGAAATACATATGATTTCTTGAAAAATAGGGATAATTAGAACAACACTCAACGGGAAAAGCCGGGTTCATTGGCGTATAAAAGGGATACCTTAATTTGCATCTAACACTTCCATATGCTATGTTTAATTTGTTGCAAATACAATATTTGTGCGGATAACTGGATATCATTACTATATATATAATCAATTACTCATATAGTCATCTTCACTTTAATCGCTTTGATATTGCCTATTTGACGAATAAATGAAAGTACAATATGTTTGTTTAAGTTAATTCAGCTGATGGAAAAAAAAAATTAATTCAGCTGTTCACTAAGAATTTAAAGATTTATGCAGCCAAGTCGAGAATGAATTAGATAAAAGTATGTTACCTTTGTGTACATGATCGATCGTATTGTGGGAATCAAGCCTTTTCTTCTTCAATAATCAATCCACAAGATATATTATTATAGTACAGATTCTCCTTGAATAATGTAAAACTAATGTAAAATGAGTGTAAGAATCAAAAGAAAGAAAGATTTGAGTAGAGAATGAGTTATTGAAAACATTTTATACATATGTTTCGGATACAAGCGACGGTTTGACTTTGCAATTTGCTCGTAGATACGTAGTTGAACTTTGCAGCAATTTGTCACCTTTTGCTTTTATTATAGTCTCTCTGTTATCTTAATATTCTACTTTTTAATGGACTCTAGCCGAACATTTTACCAGAAAAGCTCCATTTTAAATAAAAAGAAAAAAAGTTAGGAAAATGTGGAAGAATGTACTAAAATATATAATTAACATAATCTTTTTGTTTTTACATTAAACAAAAAATATATAAAAAAGAGTAATAGGATATGTAGTTCTCTCCCATTATTCGATTAAGCAGCGTTAAACCCTCCCTAAACGGCAAACGCTATATGTCTAAAGAAATTTGACCATTGATAAATATTAGTTTTCTTTTCTCCTGGGTATATAATATCTTGGTTGTTATTATTCATGCTGTGATTAATAGTTATTCACTTACTTATTACTTAGATTACGGTGAGTTTTGAGGTCGGTCACGCATGTGAACAGTTAAAAATATAAATATCCTTCATCACTCAATAGTCTCAATTGAAAATACGGTGACCATGATTGCCACCTTTTTTATTTGACGTCGATTGCTTCTTTTGGCTTATTGAAAGGGTACATTTATATACACATATCAATATACGTATACGAAACCATACGTGTCTACATGTACCTAATGTTCGTGTACAAATTACTTACTATATATATACTTATCTATTTTTGTCAAAGTAAAGGTGCATGTCTAATGTTCCTCACAATGATAAGGCATCATATCGCATTCCTTCGCATCACATTTTTAAAGAAAAACAGTGTATTTTTATAAGATGTGAAAGTTATTTCATATATCGCATTCCTTCGCATCACATTCTGCTTATTAACCACTTAATTCTACGATCTACTATTGTGGACAGGATAATTTTAGGCAGCTGGTAAATCAAGTTTGGAGAATAGGTAGGTAGCTAGACATAAAAATGAAATCTAACGAAAAATGATTTATGATGACCGGTCTCTCCAAAAGTGGAAAAATTTGTAACTATGTAGATTTTTCTTAAGGAGTTGTAGTTTGACTTCTCGGAAACGAACCCCTTTTTTTTTCAAGACCAAGCAGCTTCGTTGTCCATTGTACCTAATATATGTGGACCGACACAAAGTTATGAACACGAATGTATAGTGTAATTACTTATTAGAAGTTCACCAAACTTGGCTTTAGTGTTTGTCAACTTCATAGTGTAAGATACACCACTTTGACACTTTCTAATGTGTATATATGTATGTCTGATTAAAGTCCATGTACAAGTGGTATCATGTCTGAGTCAAAGTCGATGTACAACTGGTAATCATATTCGTTACAACTGGGAGTTTTTATTTATCTCACATATTTTGATCATACCATTTTTTATAATCATAACTTATAGTTTTCACTTTTCACATGTTCTTGAAACAAAAACAACATAGCGCCGACAGAGGGCGGTTTTCAGTCCAGTTCTAGGTTTGGTTTCAGTTGAAACTTTTTCGCTTTCTTTTCTACAACTATTTTTTTTTTGGTGCAACTGGTTCAAATTCTTTTCAAGGATCTTTTTTGGGATATGATTTTCATTTCATGTGTTTGAAATTTTAATTAACTACTCGAAAATGATGTATTGAATTAAAAGCTAAAACTGCTCAAAGACGAATCAACTACGTCACAATGCACTAGATCAGTATGCTGTATGCATATTTTTGGTGATGCGACGTATATTTAACAGATAAGTACAAGACACAATAAATGCAGATATATATAAAACGTCAATTTGAAACGTACATACTACATAGCATAAACTCTTGTGTGCTACTTTGGATGTCACCATCTAAATAATTAAATCTAAGCAAACGATTCGACAACCGATTGTTCTAAAGTATGACTATAACTATTAAACTCATGATCATTGATCAGATATGGTTTGGATAATATGGTATAGATGTTTATATTCCATTCGGTTTGGATTCGAGAATTTTGGTTTGATTCAGTTCGAACCAAACTTTTTGCCTAGCCCTAGATCAAAAATGTTTTTTAACTATAAGATTCCATCCAATTAGGCTAGTCTCTCGATATATTGGTTGATTTTTCTACCCTAATATGTTTGTCCTTCTATGGTCGTCCAATGAACATATTTAAAGTATAAAACTAATCAATTCGACCAATAATCAGAAATAGATAGATTATAAGGATTATTCCCAACATGATATATAAGTAACCATCGAATTGTTGGGAGTCTCTAGTCTTTCCAACACAATTTTGTGTTTTGGTGTTGAACAATATTTGGAAGAGAGAAACGATGATATACATAAGAGCATCATTATCGGCGTATAATGATTAGATGTTGTCAAATTAAGTAGTGAGCCTGAAAAATGAACCTTGAAACTCTAACAAATTGTAGTCACTTATATTGCATGACGTACGATTTGAACCCAAAAAACGTTCCCTTTCATTTTTTTTCTTACGATTTGGTTAAGTTTTATCGGTTTATGAAAAAATAAGAAAAGCTAAACTAGAATAAGATTAGATTCAGTGTACATATAACAAGCGAAGAATTGACTAGTTCTATGTGGCTATTCATAATCTAGAGGGATTTGGCGGAGGAAACTAGTTTTAAAATCCGTCTGACATAAAATTCTCAAGTTGATTTCTATTATCAAATGTTGTTAATAACTATTTGACTTTTACAAATCAATATAATTACTAGTTTGACTTTATTGAGAGAATGTGGAGACAGATCTTGAGATCCAAGAACACAGGCTTTAGCACGTGAGCAAGTCGCATATGGATTTATAATAGTCTTTAGTTTTTAAATACCAAACTATTTTTATGAGACGCACTGAATAGAATGTGGATCTTCTCACATTTGTATTGTGGCCTTGTGGAATACAAGAAACTAATTTTGGACGTTTATTAAAGTCAACAAAAACTTGAAGACGTTTGTGAAGGTAATCTTAATTTACAAAGAGATCATATGAAACTAGTCACATTCGGCCTTTGCCAAATAATTATTGGGTATTAAGGCCGGTAGTGAGTTTATGGCTGTTTTTGGCCTTTGCCTGATAATAACCATTTGGCATTTGCGTATGGTGACTGAATTTTGTGGAGTGGCTGAATTTTGGTGCGTTGTCCGCCAAATTTTCTATTTTACGATTACAAACGAATGAATGTAAATGAAAGCTAACAGAATAATAAATTTAGCTGAAATAGCTGGTTATTTTGAAAAGAAAAAGGCAAAACATAAATACGAACAGAAACTCACAAGCTAAATCCTTGTTGATGTCGCTTACCATCAACATTTTCTCTTTAAATGTATGAAATGTTTTCGAAAAATCCGAAATAACTCAGTTAATGCTAAGAGATTTGAAGTTATTTTCGCTATATAAGCTTTTAGCTGTTCATAAAATTTCGTTACCACATAAACCCATAATATTGAGTATGTAACCAAAATATCATATATACTCATATGGTATCCTTTACAAGTTCTAGCAAAAGTTTCTTAAGTACACTGTACATCTAATGAGAATAATTTGGATTGGTTAGGTAGAAAATTTATATAAATCTTAAATATTTATGGGAGAACATTTTCTCCACATTCACAATTCACACGCCTATACCCACCAAACACATTAAATTAACAAACATTATAATTCTAATGAAGCAGAAGAAAAACCAAAGCCACTCTTGCTGAAAATGCCAATATATATTATACCTATATAAGCACCAATTCCACATTTGTCCCATTTTTCATTTTCCAACCTCAGCAAAAGCTACTAATTAGACTTATACCCCCAAAATTGAGAAATTAAGCTTAAACTACCCTCCCAATTGCAAAACAAATAGTACTAAGCAAAACCATTAAAGAAAACGAAGAAAATTATGAAAAATCCCCCATTTACGCTTCCACCAATCACCTAGGTCTTGGCCTCGCCGGAAAAGACAGAGCTTGCCGGAGTTTCCTCTGCGCCGACGGACTTGAAGAAGTCGAATTCGTGTTCGAATTAGAGCTAGCGATAGGGATTCCGAAAGTCATGGTCTGAGAAAGATTCACCATATCCACCATAGTCTGCGTCTGGTAACTCGACGTCGTCGTATCACTCATATCCCCTCTCGCCGTCGCTCGTTGCCACGAGTGCGAGCTCAGTCCGGCGAGAACGTAAGCCCTACCCGAAGCCTCGTACACTTGACGGCTCGCCATTCTCTCCTGCGTCTCCTTCAGCTCTGCATACAGCGAGGCACACAACGGATCTCCAGCTCGTCCCGACACAGACTCGTTCAACACCACACGACAAGTCTCGAGAACCGACACAGCTTCAGTCAAATCACCGCGCTCAGCTAAAACCCTAGCTTCAGAGATTGCTTCCGCAGCACGTAACCTAATTATCTGTCTGTCAACTTCAATCGAAACCACAGCTCTGCTTCCTTCCGCCATCACCACCGGCCTGAGGATCTTCACTTCGCCGGCACTGCTCAAATCAACGTCCTCTTTCGTAACCGGATCTCTGTAAACGCAACGAACCTTGAGCAACGACATCGGATCCGAAACTCCATCCACAACGGGAATATCAAGATTCACCAAGAAGTTCCTCTCTTCCTCTGCGTAGAGATCACCAACTCCAATAGACCCGGTTCTCGAATCCGTACCGCTATTAAACCGGTAGCTTCCAGCTTTAACCGAACCAATCCGCAACATTTCATGAACACACTCAATCTTAACGCAAAGCTCTTGCACCACAACGCTAAGCAGACCTCCAATACACTGCGCAAAGGCGTCTTGTATAACCGTCTCCGACTCTATGAAAGAAAACGTCCCTCCGGAGCTCTCAGCAATGAAATGCATCAAGGAAGCGTCGTGGTCAGAACCGAACCCGAACGCGTGAACCGGGATCTTGTTCCCGTTGATCTCTTTAGGAAGCAGAGACTTGTAATCTTTCCCTCTGGTCCCATTGGGGCTAGTCATGGTGTATGTATCTTGACCATCAGATAACAGCACGATGCTCGACACCGGGTTCTTGAATCTCCGGTCGATCAAAACCCTAGCGCCTTTCTTCAACCCCTCCGCAATGTTAGTCCCTCCGTTTGCGACCAGCGAGTTAACCGCCTGCAAGGCCTCTTGCTTACCGGTCTCGTTCATGAGACGGAGAGGGAAGTTTCTGCGAGATGTGGAGGAGAAGGAGATCACCGAGAGACGGTCGAACGGGCCAAGATTCTGAATCACAAACCCCATCGCTCGTTTCAGCAACGCCAGCTTTGATCCCGCCATGCTTCCGCTCACATCAAGAACCGTGATGAGATCAATAGGAGCACGAGAAGAAGACTTTGAAGCAGCAGGAGCTTTCAGGTTGATCAGCACAGCGAAGTCTTTAAACGAAACGGATCTCACCACTTCAGAGACCTCTGCGTATGTTTTCACTTCCAGTCTCCCAGTGACACCAGGTTTGGATTCAGCAGGACGTTCTTGATGTTGTTGTTCAAGAGCCTCGTCATCGTTGAAAACTGCAGGCTCGTTGTGAAAGATGGAAGAGACCGGCCTTAGACTGGCAGGCCGTGGAGAAGCCTGAAGCTGAGACGACCTGCGTGGTGGTATTGTCATCCATGCATCGTCTCTTGGTCGACCTATCGGTTTAGACTTGGCGCTAAGGCTCTGGAGAGGGACCTCGTTCCATTTGGCGCGACAAACGGGACAAACCTGGTTCCCGTGTTTAACGTTCGTGGTGATGCAGTGGAAATGAAACGCGTGAGAGCATTCCGCTGTGAAGATTGCATGGCCTTGCCCTGGTTTCATCGCCGTCAAGCATATGGCACACGTTTTCTGCAATGTCAACAAAGCAAGAACACAAAACAATGAGGTTTCAAATTCTGAAATTTTTAAAAATTAACTTTAGGAGAAGAAAATGGTATCGACAGTAATACAGAGTTAGACAGGTCGTTGTCGTATATACAAAGAATCCAAAGGAACCTGACATACGTGAGTTTGTGTCATAGTCTCTGACACATTTGTTTCTGTTACTAATGAGCCTCTATTATTGAACGATGCATAAAAAGAAGAGCAGAGACTATTGTCTACAATAAAAATTAAAAAAAAAGATGGAATCTTTTCCATTTTCATAACCTTGGAAGAAAAAGGGAAAGTCGCATTTAACCATTAAGGTTAGTAGTTTTGACCATTCAATAATCTTGGACCAAACAATTGGTCTCTTTGGTTAGAATATGGATCTTGGAATCGTGATCAAAGTTGTTTGGAATCTATAAGGTCAAACAATTAAAAGAACAATGGACAAAAGAGAGCGAAAGACAAAGGACACAGCTTTATAAAGTTAAAGGACTGGTTTAACCAGATTAGTAACTAAAAGCTTTTTTAGGAAAATTCAACGCTAGAAAGAGATCAAAGTTCAAAGTTAAAGGAAGTGTTAAAACTTAAAAGAATAATATAAAACTGTATGGTTTTGTTTAATCACAAAGATCATCTAAATGCTTATGTGAGGTTTTAATTAGATGTATACCAAGATTAAGAAAAATGTATATCAAGAACAGTAAAGTTAACTAGATTAAGGAGAATATCTATCAGCAGTAGATTTAGAACACTATGGGCATCTTTCAACAATAATTGAAAAGTTGAATTCGAAAAAGCAACAAGAAAAAAAAGAAAGATTGGTCCTTGAAGTGCACTTGACTATTGTCCAAAAACTTTATTCCAATAGTGGCTCCATTTGGAAGAGTTGATAATTACATCACAACAAATTGTTCATCTTTCTTCAACAATACCAAGAAATATTAAACTCAAAAAAACAAAAGAAAAAATGATAAAAATAAAAAAGAGTGAAAGAAACAAATGGCACTATAAACCAGGGAAAGAGACGCAACAAACTGAACCCAATCCTTAAGCCAGCTATATTGTCAATATCTTGGTGAATTTATAATGATTCGAATTGTAAGATAAAAGTTGGTTTTGGAGGAGATACGTTTACCAAATCCTAATCTCACTAATCATTCTACATAGTCAGCTACTAATCCCCATTAGCTCTCAAGATATTACCAAAAATGTTTGTTTGTTTCTTTCTCCCATAGTTTTCAAAAAGGATTTGACTTTCAAAGCTTGTAAATGTCTAAAACAACAAATCTACTGACGGCAAATGAGGGCCATAGTAGTTGAAAAACACATTTAACTAAATGAAAGATTTTGTTTTGTTCTTCTTTGTATGACCAACATGTGAGGCTTGTTTTTTCATAGATTTTGTGAGATAAATAAATGGGTTATCCCCTATTGGGTTTAGTCATTAAACAAACAAACAAAAAACTACCACTAAGATCATTTGATGTGCGTGAAGATCCAAACACTTTGTTAGAAAAAGTAATTAGTTGAAGATTAAACAAATAATAAAGCTAAAGAAAAGATAACAATACCAACTAAAAAGTAAATTAAATTAATTTTGGAGTTCCAAGAAAGATTATCCCTTTGGATTTGCTGTCTTAAGACTCTTAACCAAAGTCACTAATTTTTTAACTACACAAAGATCCGGCGATCCAACGGTGACCAAAAATCGAAAATTTTACAACTTTATCCCTTTTGCAGCAAAATCATTTTCAGAATTCGCAACAGAAATTTGAACAACCAAACGGAAAAATTCAACTCTAGAGATGAAATCTAACGGAAGAGAATCAGATACTCAGATTAAAAACTCAAACTTTCTGTAAAAATCGATGATTGTGATTGGTAAAAACTCAAACTTTCTGTAACAAATCCACAATTCGAGAAAAAATCGTAAAAGGGAGATGAAATTGAAGGAAAAAAAAACAAACCTTTGATGAGGATTTGCTAATGGACCTAGGCAATCGGAGACCAGAGGAGGAAGGAACCGGCGTCGTGGGCCTTCGAGCCATTACCGGAGAAAGCGAAACGGTGTCGTCGGATCTTCTCGAAGGAGAAGAAGAGTCCTCTAGCGTTTTGGGGACGTAGAGACACAGGTTTAGACCTAAAGCCAGCTTTGCTTTTCGCCATTTGCTTCCCATTTCCTTGAATATAAATCGAAACCAATACAAAAATTGGAGAGCTTGTTTGTTTTGTGTGGAGAAACTCGAAAATCTTCAGCTCTTATCTTCTGTAGACATTAGTTGAGAAATGAAATGAGTTTGCGAATTGCAGAGTTTTTGTCTGCGCAGAGAGAGGAGGAGAGAGAGACGGTGGGGAAGTTTTTGACCTGTTTTGGGGGATGATGGATGGGTAAAGGGTACTTTGGTCAATATTATTCATTATGAAAGCTTGGGATTATACCAAAGTTAAATTTGACCTTTGATTTTGATTTTTTAATGATTTTTTGGTATTCTTTTATTGGTCAGATTATGAGATACGACTTTTTACTTTGTTTGTCCATTACTATTTTCCCTAAATAAAAAAATGTCCTTAATTACTAGTAACATTTCAAATTGGTTTTGATTTGTTTTCGCCGGTTAATTTGCTGTGACAGCTTCAGATTCGGAAATTATGTGGAGTGTATTACACTGTTTTGGTAACAAAAGATTTTGTATAATTGACATATATATATCTTCCAAATATGACATCATATTTTGTTAGAGATATTTTGATGATGTTTGTTGACAACTATAGAAATATGATATTATATTTTGGCGCTTTAATGATTCTTCGGTTAGACGATTTTTGAGTTTCTCTTGATACATTTTCCAGTTGCATATTTTCTTCCTTCCTCTTAAATCCTAAGGAAAAGAATTTCAACACAATCTCATTCCATGAATGCTTATGCAACTACTTTTCCATTAGACAAAACGCTTTGGATCATTAATTGTTTGCGCTCGTTAGTTCCTTTTATGTCCAAAGAAATTAAAAGAGATTGAAGCTTGTAACGTTTAAGCCGTGACCCGTGACCGTAGAAGTAGTTGAAAATTAATCAATGCATGCCTAATACATACAATTTTGTTGAAATTAATGACATTGTTGACTTTACAAAAACTGGCTATGTTTCCTTATTAACTTATTTAATTTGTCTCCGGTAATTTCAGCAATTTGGAAGTATAAGTCATATCTTGCTTGCATTACAACCTTCACTTGCAAAACCATTCCAAATTAGTTCAGATGTAATGGCAAGCTAGTAGATTGTCATGATCATATTGTCAACTTGAATGGAAATAGATGTTTTATGGTTAAAAAATAAATATTGATTTGGACTCTCTTCGTCCGAGATGTAAGAACTGTTTTCAATGGAATTTAATAGATAGTCACAGAATGATGGTTCACCAACTTCTAACCACCGGTCTAGAGAAAACAAAATTACATGCATGTATTAATGTATATATACAATTAAAACAAAAATCCTAATCCTAAGAACAACCGAGATAGATTAATTTTCAATAAACAATTTGGAAGTTAATGTAGATTATTGTAATACTCTTTCGTAGGGTTTCTTAAGTAAGACTTTCTGCCAATGTACCGAACTGTATATGAACACAAGAAGGATGCTGTCAAGTGACATTAGTTGGCATTCCACGAAAGTTAACAGATAATGTAACAAGTTATAACATTTGTAAAAGTCATTGTTCTAAAAAATGGTTAAACTATTTACTCCATTTAACAAAAACAATGGTTAAACTATTTAAACTATGTGTGTGAGAGGGTATGGGTCTATATCATATGCGTGGGGGTGTGTGCATAGATTTATGGAAGTGTAGTAACTCTTTATACTATAGAGGAAATTGATAAGGAAATGCATTAAGTTTGGTTGAAAAAGAGAAGAAAAAGAGAGAGGAAATGAGTTGAGGATAGGAAAAAAAAGGAGGGGACAAAGATAAAGCGAAAACCTTCGTAGCCATTAATTAGAACCCATTCATTAGGTGGAGAATATTGAAATTCTACTCTATTACAGGGTGTCAACCATCATAGAAAAAAGAGTTTTAAAGAAAACAAAAATCTCATGGAGAAAATCATTTTCAGTGAATCAAAAATATCCAATATTCACATCTTTTGGATAATAATAAGTTGCTTGATGGCCTAATTGGAGAAGTCATTGTAGAATATTATTACATGCCACTAAAAAAATAGTTTCTCGCAAGCACATGTATATATGAGTTTTTTTCCGATTTAAGAGAAATAGAGAAACGAGGACATTGACAAGGAGATTGGGTTTTATTGGAGAAACCTTACTTTGAACTAATATACCATATGAAGATCATTTTGTTCGGATCGTACAAGGGCACACGAGTAGTGCTATCTATTTTTGTTGTCGTTTATACCAGCTTGCCGTTGATCCTTAGGTGCGTGGAGAAAAAAATTGTTATTTGCATAGTTCGAATTCATCACCTTTGTGACCTTTTCTAGAGATGATGAGTTATACTACGTCGGAATTAATAGATGGTGGTTAATATCTTATTAACAAACTGGTTTATATGTTAGTTATACTATACGGGTATGTGCGTGTAACACTGGATAAATTTGGTGGAATATTTTCGTCTATATGGAGTTTGGATGAATAAATGTTAGCTACGATGCTTTGCCATTTAAACTTTAAAACACATGCAATGCTTTGCTGTATACAACCAAACCAAGATTGCGAAATGTTAGAAACAAAAAAACAGAGCACTTGCACCCACCAAAAGTCAATCTCACATAATAAAAGTCGCCCCTAAAAAACGGCCTCATCATTTATTTGCACCCACGGTATCTTGTGACCCTTCTCATGCTATTAACTTTATTTTCTTTTTATTTGTCATAAAATTCACGCATATATATGTGTGTATATACTAACAGTAACAATACACCAGAAATATGTACTTATAAATTTTTATTAGAATCTATAAGACATTTACGTAAATTAAACAAACAAAACTAGAGGAACAGCTTTTGTTGGCTAGTAGACGAAATTACTGATAACATAGAGGAACATATTTTTTTTTTACTGAAATTTTGTACATTAAGTAACATCTAAAGCTCATGACATCTATGCCAAGCAGAGTATGTATTGGTTAAAAATAATGTTCAGATTAAATTCGGATTAAAATAACTTATTAAAATTAAATCAACAGTACCATATCAAATAAGTAAATTACTTAATAATTTTGGTTTAGATCATTTTCAGTTTGATCTGATAAAAGAATATTGTGTGGTATATCATTTTGTTGGGTTGACTTAGTTTTGATCATTTGATTTGGTTTTGCTTTGGTTGAATTGAAAATATTGAAAAGTAAGTTTTATTCCGGTTCAGTAAAGTTTGTTGGGATTTAGTTCCATAATCTGTCACAATATGTAGATTTATTATTCGAATATTACAACAACGTATTATTGATCTTGAGATAATAGAGACAGCGATGTTGAAACTAGAAAGAGAGACGTCCAAGGAAAAAAAACATGGAATTAGAAGCATTGATTTTGGATAACATGTCAAAGCTGAAAGTTTCTCATTGGTTTGCGCTGAATCTTCCATCGAGTTCTCTTGTATACACCGCCGCCGTTTTGTTTGAACTAAACATATCATTTTCGCTTCTTATCTTTTTTCTTTTGTATAATTTATTATTTTATTATAAGTTATTTGAATAATCCACGATAGATCAACACACTCACAGCAGATAATTGTAAACATAACATATGATATCATAACGAACATACATTTATTTATAAAAGAAAATTTGTCATAACATACCATTATGAACCTCTTAGTCTAGTGGGTTGACTAGAAAGTTTAATTAATGTTTTGTTTTTAACAAAGGCTTAAGTTAATTAATGTTTCTACATCAACCAGTTTGAGCTTCAATTTCTAGATACAGATGATTCCAACAATATGATGGACACAAATTTATACGAAGTATAGTTCATCGTAGTCACATATCTTAATGATAAGCTGTCGATTTTGAATAAAATACAGGTAGATTTTGGATAAAAATATATATTAAAGTGTTGTCTTAATAAATTATGAAAAGAATAATCTTGAAGAACAGAAAAATACCGAATACCAAGTATTTTTACGTGTCTTTATATAGTTAGTATGAATTTTATTATAAATGTTAGTTATAAGAAAACCATTGTGTATGGTTTTATTCAAATGATGACATTCAAGTTTTGAATTCAAAGCTAAACGATTTGGTCAACAAAGCAACCTAATATAGTATTTTGGATAACGAAACATGAAATCAGTTGACAAGGATATAGGTTCGTCTTTTTATTATCAGTATCATTAAAAAAATGTCAAAATTCACTAGGGTGTATATTGTCAAAATTTTACTTATATTTATAAGAATTTATTAATATTATTAGATTTTCTTACCGAGTTAGAGCTTGAAATGCACTTGGAATCCATGGAGCAGATGTAATTCATGTTATGAATAAGATATAATTAATATGTAAAATGATCTTTATCAAGCATATACATGTCAGTATACAATAACAATCACTCAAAGAAAAATATACAAACTTTGATATTTTTGTTAAAACACACAATATCTCCAAAAAATTAGTAATTTTAAATGGCTAAAAGATACTGAAACTCAAAATCATAAGGGATCTTCTCAACCACCAGAGAGGAGGAAGAAGAAGCTTTGGAATTTTGATTCTTAAAACACTCCACCATTGACTTTCTCAAGGAACCAGAGGTCGGTAACTGGCTGCAAACCCATTTCGCCAGAGATCCCATCTCTCCACCGCTGCCATCCGCCGTTGCCACCACAAAATCGGCTGCATGTTTCACAAGAAGCTCCGGCAAGATTACCCGTTTAGCCGCCGTAACCACCACCGAGGCTTGCAGATACTCCATCTTCGATTTCTCTAGCTCTGTCGCCACTCCTTCTCCAGTGTATATCCTCACCTTTCAATTATAACCATCAAGTTTTTAACGTATCTTTAAAAAATAACACAAATAGTTGATGTGTTTGGGAAAATCACAAACTTATTAGTATATCTTTTTCTTTTACAAACTCACAAACTATATTAGTAGATTGCTTAACTAAAAGTGAATTAATTAAAGGTTTACTTACCGCAGGAGAAGATCGAGTTCCGCAAGAAAGAGCAAATG